AAGATCACTCTGATTTTAAAACAAAGCATAAACAAATCGGTCTTTTATGGCCGTGAAATTTGGGGATGTTACAAAAAACCCTTCACAAGTCAACCTTGGTCAAAGTCAATGCCAATGTTAAAGTCAACATCCAGTCAAAGTCAAAGTCAACCTTGAGTTGACCCAACTCGTCGAGTTTACCCTTTAACTCGTCGAGTTCTCATAAATTACTGAATCGTGAAATCGCGGTCTAACTCGTCGAGTTTCCTCCAAATCGCCGAGTTTCTCCTACTCAACAGAAACGGGACTTCCTAACACAACTCGTCGAGTTCCTTGCCGACTCGCCGAGTTCCATGAACAGGATCGGAAATTTTCGATCGGACTCGTCGAGTTTTTTTATGAACTCGCCGAGTTCCTTGCATATCTAACCTATACAACGTTTTCCTCAGATCTAAGGTTCCAGAATACATATCCATATTGTTTCCATGACCCATTTCTATAAAGTTGGCAACTTGATGGCTTTGCACGCCTCAAATGGACCCAAACTCAAGTTATAGCAATCTACTTCCATGAACATGGCCTTTTCTTGGACAATAACGGGTTTAAGACCCTTTTTATGATTCTAAGGGCAAAATACTACTGGAAATGGGAATCCTTAACATACAATCCATGAAGGGCGTCATATTTCCCACAATGGGGTCAAAAAGTCTCATAAATCAAAACTAAGAGAGATCGAGGCTATTATTCATCAAGTTAGTGACTTTTTACCTCAGAAAGCTGTCAAAGGTATATGAGATCCAAGGATCTAAAGTTTCTCTTCAAGCTTGATGGCTTCTAGTTCTTCCAACTCCTTTACAAAGCACAAAAACACACTCAAAACCTCAAGTTTCTCTCAAGAGGGCGCACAAAACAATTTAGGGTTTCAGGGATTAGGGTTTGGGACTTGGAGGGTGGAAATGAGGCCATAAAGTGGGGATTAAGATGCTTAAATAGGGTGCAAAACCCCGAAATTAGGGTTTCATCCCGACAACCCTACTTGTCGAGTCGAGGCTTCTCGACTCGTCGAGTAGGTGACTTAAATCTCGCGTCCAATCTCGTTTCTACTCGACGAGTCTGGGGCTCCCAACTCGTCGAGTAGTTCTTCAACAAATGAATAAATTATAATTAAATGTGTACCAGGAATCGGGCGTTACACCCTTGCCCTTTCACACAAATCATATCTCAACCTCACGCTTTCGTCAACGTATTCCACCACCATAAGGACCATTCTATATCATCTCCAAAGATATTGATTTCCCTTCACCCCACCCTTTGACGAAAATCCTATCTAGTTTTTCAATATTTGACTGACGTTTCACAGACCATGCCAAGATAACCATTCCACAAGGATCGTCCGAGTAAATTTCTTTTTATAGAGACAAAACTTAGATATTGAACCAAACCAAACAAATGGTTTTATGAATAAAGTACCCATTTTCAAATGTGTAAAATTAGTTTAAAAAAAAAACTAAAAACTAAAAGCTCATAAAAGCTACTTGAACTATCTTTTAGATTTCGAGTTTTTTTTGTTTCAATGAAAAACTAAAAGCTTTTGCTCATATTTTTTTTTTAATCTAAAAGTGAAACGCTTTTAAAATATCCATGTCAAACATGCCCAACCGACATAAACAATTATAAAAAGCAAATAAAAAATAACATTATTAGTGTAATGATATTAATGAACAAAATAACTTTATTATTACAAAAATATTAATGAACTTTTTTATTTGAAATTCTTTAATGAAAAAACTTCAAAGTGTCTTATTGTGAATGCTTTGAACATAATAAACTACGTTTATTTTAAAGATATTAATGAAAATTTTCAATTGAACTTTTTAGTGAAAACTCTTCATCATTATGAGGTTGTTAATGAACTTTTTTCATTTGAAATTCTTTAGTGAAAAAACTTCATTAAATGTTCTTTTATTGACAATGCTTTAAACATGCTAAGTAATGTTTGACTTGGTCACCCTTGCGGGTTTGTTAGGTTAAAAAGCGTGGTGACATTTTCATGTCTCCAACATTTGTTGTCAAATAGACATAACGTAGGATGTTGTCATTTCATGTTTCTATTAGAGAGTGGTGCCATCTAATGTCATCCAATCATAAGAGAAGAGAGGGAGGCAGGTAACACATTGAAGAAGGGAGAATTATGCAATGATCATGCGGATGCCGATCAATCCACGCCTATTAATGACGTGGTTATTGCGGGGCGATGTATCCGGTGGCTTGGCATTCAAAGCCACGACGGATGCTGAAAAACTACGGGGAGTGGTGTCGACACCATTGAGCTCCACCTCAGCGTTCTCCGCCTACACCTCACTTTGCCGAGTGAATTTGCCAAATAGCCTGAATGGGATACAACAAGCAAGAGGGGAGAAAGAAGAAGAAGGCATGTGAAAGAGTACGGGTGAAAGAGTATGGTGTGCAACAAGGCCACCTCATAGCCTTGGGTGTTTGTGAAGATTTCAAAACAAGCGTCATTTTACTTACTGCTAAATCAATATGCTATTTTTTTGTATCATTTTGATGTATTATTATTCTTGGGTTTCCAGTCCACCTACAATAAGATATATAATATTGGTTACTTCGACATACCAACTCGACTTTTTGAAAGTCGATGTGTTTATTATTTTATTTGATAATTGCTAATTGTTAGTGTGAATCCAAACCGAGTTAAAATCACGTGATTGTCTTAGGGGTATTTTAGTCATTTTATGTTTGATTTAGTAAAAACCATGAACGACACTAACTTGATTAGTGGGTAGAAGCAGGGACGAAGCTTATGTAGGGCCAGGAGGGACTGTGGCCCCCACTGTTTTTTTTTTCATAACTAACCCTTAAGTATTAAAATTTTTACACATTAAGCCTAAAACTAGAAATTTTGACTTTGCCCCCTATTCCTCAATTTTTATACATATTTTATTTTCGGCCCCCCAAATCAACACTTCAAGCTCCGTCAATGGGTAGAAGTTCCAATTTTTTTAGGATAGTTTTAGCTATGTATTTGTTTCCTTCGATTGTTGAATAATGGAAGAGAAATTCCTAAGGGTGCGTTTAGTTGCGGAAAAATGGGTCGTTTTCCGGAAAAATTTTCCAAGAAAAATGAGAATTTTGAAAACGCGTTTAGTTCGTTTATTTTTCTAAATTTTTCACGGAAAATGGAAATTTTCCGTTTTCTAAAATTACAAAGAAGTTGAAATTTTTGGAAAACCAATAATCATGGTTTTCCACATTTTTCTAATTCCAAAATTTTTCTAAAATATAAACACACACTCACTCCCATCTCTACCTACCCCCACCTCTACACATCCAACCCACCATACCCTTACCTACCCACACCTACACCCACACCCACCCACTCCCAAGCCCACCCCTACAAACATACACACAAACACACACCTACCCCAACCCCCACCCATAACCCCCCCCCCCCCCCCACACACACACACCCACCCACCCACTCACAAACACAAACACAAGGTCACCCCCACCCCCCACAAACACCCACTCCTACCCCCAAACACACACACACACACACACACACACACACCCATCCCCACCCCCACTCAATCCACTACAAACACACACACACACAAACCCACATCTACCCCACCTCCACAAACACAAACACACACAAACCCACCCCCACCCCCAAAAACACACACACACACACCCATACCCACCCACACACCCACCCTCACCCCCACAAACACACACACACACAAACCCACATCTACCCCATCCCCACAAACACAAACACACACAAACCCACCCCCAAAAACACACCCACACCCACCCACCCACCCCACAAACACACACACACACCCACAAACATACAAAGACACACCTACCCACCCAACACCACTACAACAATCACCGACCTACCATCACCATCACCATCACCATCACCACCACCACTACCCCATCAGCACCACCACCACCACCACCGTCGCCACTGCCATCACCACCACCGCCGCCGACCCGCTACCACCGCCGCCCCCACCCTACCACCGCAACTGTTTTCTAAAAATGAAAACCAATAGAAAAATACACATCTAAACACGTTTTCTAGTTTTCTAAAACTGAAAATGAAAAACGAATAAGTTTTAACTAAACGCGTTTTCTAAATTTTTCAATGAAAAATGAAAACGGAAAATGAAAACTGAAAAGGGAAAACGAAAAATAGAAAATGAAAACTGTTTTTCCGTAACTAAACGCAACCTAAGTGTTCCGTTTTTCTCCTTCCTCTTTTCTCTCATATACAGTAGCAACACAACAGATCATATTGTTTTGCTTTATCCTATTTGTTCGATCCCATTTGGTTGAACAGGTCAGAGGGGTATGATCCTACACTAACATCTTTTTTAATATAATTCTGAGGTGTTCACAAGAAAATTAATGGTTAATGTTTCCACAAAGCACAACAGAATATAAATTATAGTTAATATTCTACAGCAATCTGGCAAACCTAAATAACAGATTGCATTGCTGAATTTGTAAACAGTCTGAACGACCCAATCATCAAGTTAACAACTTGACATAATGACATCCAACAAAAAGTTTACACCCTTTTAAGTTATCAAATAAAAGGATCCGGATAACAATTTCAATGTACATACATGCATATTCTGCAAAATACTAGAAACACAAATTTCTTACGATTGAAATTTTAGGAAGACAGAGAAGTGTGATTAACAAATTACCCAACACTCCGGTCAAGTGATTCTAACAGTTTTACTGAAGCATATATAAACCCTAAATCAAATACAGATTCTAGTCACTGAATTAGAGGTACCAAAGACAAATATTATATCATGTATTGCATAAGCATATAATCATACAGAAAAGATGAATTGGATAAGTGATATTGTATTAATAGCTTCAATTACAGGTAATACCACTTCCGATTACAGATAACAAAGCAATGAAAACCTCGATGCCAAACAAGAACCCTAGAAAGTAGAAACCGCAAAATTCTCTTAACCACCAAATCCGTAAAGAGTACGGCCTTGGCGCTTCAAAGCATAAACGACATCCATGGCGGTAACAGTTTTCCGGCGAGCATGTTCGGTGTATGTGACGGCGTCACGGATGACGTTCTCAAGAAAGATCTTCAAAACTCCACGGGTCTCCTCGTAGATTAACCCACTGATACGCTTGACACCTCCTCGTCTGGCCAGACGGCGGATCGCCGGCTTGGTGATACCTTGAATGTTGTCCCGGAGAACCTTACGATGACGTTTGGCTCCACCCTTTCCCAATCCCTTGCCTCCTTTTCCTCTTCCTGACATGTTTTCTCTCTACTTTTCTCTCGTTAAAAATGAATTTGATTTTTGTTTGTGTTTGCGCTTAAAATGGGTTTGAGGATTTATAGAATATTGGGGTTTGAGTTTGAAAGGAAGTATGTATTCGTCCGTTGGATTAGATTAAATAGGAGGCATAGATAGCCGCAGGATTATTATCTGTGTGATGATAAATAAGACGCTTTGATTGGTTTGCTTTAACAGTGTTGGATCCAGGTTAGGATAGTTCGGGTCAAGTATTGTGAATAGCGTTAAATTAACTGGTATGTGTAATTTATAGAGAAAAATGAAATCTAGTTAAACAAAGGGATAATGACTTGAAATGTTAACAAACTTTTGACTTTGTTCATATTTAGTTATTAAACTTTTTTTCGTTATCTATTTGCCACTGAACTATTGAAACTGTTCACATTTTACCCTTGTGACCGGTTGTTACCGGTTATAAGGGTAAAATATGAACAGTTTCAATAGTTCAGTGGCAAATAGATAACGAAAAAAAGTTTAGTGACTAAATGTGAACAAAATCGAAAGTTCTTTTCCCTCTAAAAAAGTTCAATGACTAAATATGAACAAACTTCCTCTTGTATTATATTTGAGCAAATTATTTATTTTTGTTAAATTATAGCAAAATTTGTTGATGAAGAAATCTATGAAATAAAAAAAAAAACAAAACCCCGAAAATATATTAAAAAAAACGAAAAACTAAAACATCAAAATTTCCAATCTGATTTTGGTTTTACAAAAATTCAACTTTCGATATTTCATATCTAAATTTCTCCCCCTTTTTATAATCGAAAAATGATTATAAAACCAAAAAGGGAATGAGAAAGCGCTCAATTTAGAATTTTTCTATCCAAAACTTCCCCTTAACACATGGCATAAACATTTTGCTTCAATCCGGAAAATCCAAAAAATCTTCAATTTTTAGCTTCGTTCACGGACCACCTTTGACAAAAATTTGGGTAGAAATTGTCAATTTCAAAATTCTGTCAAAGGCAGTCCGTGAACGAAGCTAAAAAGTGAAGATTTTTTGGATTTTCCGGATTGAAGCAAAACGTTTATGTCATGTGTTAAGGGGGAGTTTTGGATAGAAATTCCGAATTGAGCGTTTTCTCATTCCCTTTTTGGTTTTATAATCATTTTTCGATTATAAAAAGGGGGAGAGATTTAGATATGGAAATTCGAAAGTTGATTTTTTCATATTATGCGGACTTGAAGACCGAAGTGACCTTGAGTATTTGAAGTTTATGAAATGATTCGATTGGAGATTCGGAAGTGATTTCGGTTCATGATGGTCTCACATTCTAGAACCCATATTGAAAAGTCATGGAAGAATTGAAGATTTGATGTTCATCTCTACATGTGTTACGTTTGAGGCTCGATTCGTGAAGTTGCTCGAGTTTGGAAGATTTGAAGCGGGTCATCCATTGCTAGCTTTGAGGGGGAGAATGTTGGTACAAAGTTATCTATGTATGACTTTGTAAACGGTTTGACTTTTGTAGACCCACTTGCATGTGGTAAAGTAGCTTTGTGACACGAGAGATATATATATATATATATATATATATATATATATATATATATATATATATATATATATATAGAGGTGTGCTTGAGAGATGTAACATTGAGAGTGTTAGTGTGTGTTAATTATGTAGATTTAGATCTAGATCGTTTTTTGTAAACACCTTTCATAATCGAATGCATCTCTTAAACACCTAAATCATCGTGTTTTTTGTGTGTTCTTTAATTCCGCATGTCAAACCAATGGTCATAATTCACATCAGTGAGAATGATTCATTTTTTTGTAAAACCAAAATCAGATTGGAAATTTTGATTTTTGATTTTAGAAAATACCAAACCATTGGTTTTTTATTTCGGTTTCGGTTTTTAGTAGATTTCTTCATCAACAAATGTTGCTAGAATTTAACAAAAATAAATAATTTGCTAAAATATAATACAAGAGGAAGTCTGTTCACATTTAGCCATCAAACTTTTTTAGAGGGAAACGGACTTTCGATTTTGTTCATATTTAGTCACTAAACTTTTTTTCATTATCTATTTGTCACTGAACTATTGAAACTGTTCACATTTTACCCTTATGACCGGTAACAACCGGTCATAAGGGTAAAATGTGAACAGTTTCAATAGTTCAGTGGCAAATAGATAACGAAAAAAAGTTTAGTGACTAAATGTGAACAAAGTCGAAAGTTCGTTACCCTTATAAGTCATTATCCCTTAAACAAAATGTGTATAAATACATAAAACAACATATAAATTATTTTTTTTAAATAACATATCTAGTTATTTTAAACCACGATATTTTTGAAAAAAAATACATAAACATAAAGTTTAATTAAATATTTTTAGTGTATGAATATGTACTTTTGAAAGAATTAGGATAATATGAAAAAAAAACATATTTAAGGTAAACAATTCCAAGTTCTAACGGATCTAAAACTGGTTTTTAGAATAAAACCGTAATTTTGACAAACTTTATGTTTTTTGTGTCGATAACCATGTAAACAATTGTAAGATTTTTAGACTTAATTACTAAAAAAATATTATGCCTTAATTGAAAATGAGGTTCAAATGTAACGATTTTACTCTAAAAAAAAAAACTTAGGGACTGTTTGATAGTTGTTGACTGAGTAAGATCTGACTGGGTCAGGGTCTGACTGAGTCTGAAGCTCTGACTGTATCTGCTCTAACTGAAACAATGTTGTTTGATTACACATCTGACTGTTTATGCTGACCGCTGAAAATGACCATTTTACCCTTTTTTTGTGTTGAATAAAATGTATCTATTTGCTAAAACTGATGAATAGTAATACAAAAAGGATTATAAGAATAAATTGTTAAGATCCGGGTCTTTGAGTTGCAATTCAATGTTTATACATATCTTGTCCCATTTCTGATTCTTTTAATCAACCCGTGAAAATTTATTCCATATCTTTTTAGAACACATGAGAATTTATAAAACTAGAAAAACAATCATACAGAAAAAGCAACTATCAAGAACAACACCCAAGGTTAGAAGGAGATATACATGAGTCAAGAGCTTTTAAAGCAACAAACATTGATAACAACCCCTTAAATAGCATCCATCATTCCAGCTAGTATATTTTTGAGGGATCTGACTTGATATAAACATGACACGAACTTTACTTTGAATCCATTAAAACCCACACCAAACTTAATTGAAATAGCAATGAATTTTTCTTAAACAGCAACAGACTTTTCTGAAACAACATCCACCATTCCTCAAATAGTATCACACAATGTTTTATACAACAATACATATCTACAGTAAAAGACATTATATCCTTATGGAGTAATCTTACAGTAGATCAAACAAGTGGAATCAAGTGAAACTGAAGCTATTAAGTGATTATAGTTTATAATGTTCTTTAACATATCACTCCATAGCCAAACCTGCATCATGCTTCAACCCTGGGATTGCAATATCTGAAAGAGAAGAAGCACTAGAATTCCCAACTTTTGCGAATCCTGAACTGTTGTGTTGTCAATCGTACTTGTTTGGAATGATATGGCGTGTCGATTAAACCCTAGATTCTTCATACACAAATCGAAATTAGGATTTCCACTGAACATCACAAACACCAAGCTTCATTCAATCCAGAACTCGTAAAACATCGAACGCAGAACCGCTAAATCAGTGGTGAAAATAGTTTTTACGAATTCCAAAAGGCCAACTAAGATTACCGGTAAAGAAAATCGAATCAAGCCGGAGTTGCAGGAAGAAGGCGGTGGCGAAGGAATGGAAGACGGCTGTGTGGCTGAGTGGGGGGGAGGGGTGGCTGAGGATGTCGATGGTCTGCGACTCTGTTGTGGTCGACAGAGCGATTGTGATCGGCGAAGCTGCTCTGATCGACGACGCTACTACCTGCGACGATAATGGAAGTCGACAGACATTAGCAGTTGAAGTCGTCAGACGTTGGCGTTCGATGGTGGAATCTGGAGTAGCCGGATCGACTGGAGGATGAAGTATAGGGGACATTGGAAGCGGGAGATGAAAAAAATGGCGTGAACTTGGGTTGGGGCACAAAGGGCAAATGTTTTTATTTTCATCGGTCAGCTATGTTTTTTTGCTTACCCAGTAAGAGGCAATTGACCGAGTAAGGGATTGAATTCTTGCAAAACAAACAAACAAACAGTCTGATCCAGATGGAGGCAGACCTTACCTCTTACTAGACTTGTTTGTTTTGACTCAGTAAGAGGCAAAACAAACAAGCCCTTGATACTATAGTTTTAACCTGTAAATTTAAAATAAAAATAAAACAACAAACATATTTTTTTAAGTTTTATTGTCAGGAGCCTTGAGATTTAAATAAAAATAAATAAATAAATAATCATAATGAATCTCTTAATTTCGTAGTCAAAGTGTTTGAAGTTCGAAGTTTTTCAAAAATCACCGAGTAACCTATTGTGAATTTTCCCCCAGTTAAATTAGATTTCGTCCTCCAAATCATTCCTTATTATCTCCATTATCGAACTAAACGAACCTGACTGAACTCTCTGAATCCCAAAAATAATTGGGGAAGTCACCTCGCTCTGATGACCGTCCACCCTTATTGTTGTCGAACTGAAATTAGCAGATATCACAATCCCTACCGAAGAATAAACCTCAACTTTTTCCCTAAGGCCACGAGTATCCAACCGCTATACCTGAAATTGACTCCCAGACAGACATAACCAATCAAAACTGTTCCCAAAAAGACTCAACTTCACAAGACGAACCGAACAAGCCTTACCTAACTGAATAAATTTACAGATACCCGAAAACATATACACCCCGACCACCTACCGGTACCGAAAAATCTTGATCGAAAACAATATCAGGTCCAGTCTCAAAAACTGAACAGGTACGAGCGGTCCTGGTCTATCCGCTAACACGACTCCATCAGTCATTCACTCCCTATGAATGACAACTCAACCAACCAATGCACGAACGATCACCAAGTCCGCTTTACCCCATTGATGGATACAAATCAAACCGAGTTCTCACATCACATTTGGCCCCAACCCAGCCTATGATTTGCCCAAGCATTACAAATGTTGAGGCACACTCACAACCTTTCACCCAAACCCGCGATGATCTAATTCATCCTAGAGAATGCCACAAGCCAAGTCATAGACTTCCATCATTGTCACAACCACTTACCCAACTAGTGAATGTTACAGTTGCTCTGCATTCCTACAACACTTCCACAATCTGCATACTAACCTAGTGAATGCTACGGCTGCTCATCAATCTTAACGATTCCCACAACCGCATATTGACCTAGTGAATGCTACGGCTACTATGCATCCTTACATCACTCCCACAACCGCATACTGACCTAGTAAATGTCGGCTGCTTCGTAGTCTTACATTACTCCCACAACTACACATTAACTGGGGAATACTATGGCTGCTCTGCGGTCTTACATCACTCCCATAATTGCACACTAACCGAAAACACTACGAGTCAAAACTCCGTCCTACCAGACTCTATCAGGTGTTCGAATCGTGTTTCATACCCCAAAGCCTTCATCAGACAAGAACAGACAGTGAGGTCCTAACGCAACCCTCGACTTGAACCTAGCCATGAATCCATATCGTTTGCTTCAATGCTCATCGTTGACCGAAGAACATTATTCATTGCTTAACCCTGAACCCTCTCGCAACCAGAACTGGCTCTCTAGTTGACTTAGTATGATACCATGTTGACTGGCCTTCCCAGTTAATCTTTAATCAAACAGTATCATATCCGCACCACCCAATTAGTCGTTCAAGGCCCTGCCGGCCAAACGACAGTCTACTCCACACTCACAATCCTGACCTATCTTGGATTCTTCACGACCTCAAGGAACCCTGACGCTCCTTCCAGATATATCGATCCAAAACTCTGACATGGGCACAAATTATAAAATGGCTCACACTTGGAACTATCCCCGACGGTCCCAGGTAACCATCCCTCACTTGGATTCATCTGCATTCTGATAACCTCATAATCACTAGATTACCTAGCCATCCCACAATCTTCCTACCCAATCACCACCACACTTAGCTTACTGGAATATGATCCCATGATCAAACGATATCGAGTGCTCACACCCCAAAGCAGATGAAGTACTTTACAACTCTCGACAAAGATTGTCGTATCCAAAGTACCTTCCCTTTATACAATTCCACACCCTTTTACAATCCCAACTGATTACAAGGAATCCAAAAGACCCACAATTTGAAACAAATAAATACTCACTTCATTGCTCTACTTACTACCGAATCAAATCTGAGTCTGCTATAGACAATAATTCCACAATCCAACAAATCAGGGCAAACGTATCCAAAAGCCATGATATACCATAAACAGAACATGACAACAGGTTGTCACGTCTAGTGACCTCCAACTTATGCGGCTCGACACCTTCGAAGCATCCCAACTACTGACAATGAACGGGAATAACCAATGATCGAGAATATACTATTATACTGACAACAACCCGATAATCCAATGTTTTTTTCCCACTAAACTAAACCCACGCGGAACTACATATACCCAAACCAGAAGTTGATTGACAGATCAACCACTGCTTATCTTGGACTATAGGTAGCAATTTATAACTCGAGTTGACAAATCCTTTAACAAACCGATGCTCTACCTGAGCGACCTAACCACCTCTTGAATAGTTCATCGAATTTCCCGAAAGGGACCACTGGCTACAACAAGACCCTTGACCAACAACTTCCTGTCACGAAGACAACTCATGTATTTCCGAGCACATTCATTTTATGGCAACTTGCTCTGCACCCTCGTCTCGAACCAAAGTCTCGTATACCCGGTTCTCCCCCACTTGGGTTTGGACTATCACCAACTGACGTTGCAAACAACTACACTTCAAACCAAATCAGCCAAATACATGTTGGATTAGGTGTCTAAGTTCATAACTATTTCTGGAATGTACTTGACCTGATTAGCATGGTCCATTTGGGTTGCATGGCATCATGCATTTGGATAAACTAAAATGAGAGAAATAACACTTAAGGTTTATTAATATATTATAACTTCTAATATATTAATAGTATTATTTAGTTAGTATTGATCAATAATTAATTTGGAATTAAGTAAGTGATCAAAAGAAGACTAATTAAATATATGGGTTGATTGTGTAAATCATCCATACTTATATAGTGGGCTAATGCTTCATGGATTATCAACTTGGGCTAAAATCCATAGGATGCTCCATGGTGGTTATAGAACCCATGGGTCATGGAAATGAAAAGTCATGACAATTAGGGTTTACATGGTGCAACCCTAATTGTAACACACTATATAAGCTACATGTTATTCACCAAAATCGGCCACTAAGCATACAAGTGAGGGTTAGCCGATTTCAAGAAGTGTTTCATTTCTCTCTAAGTTATTCCAAGTGCATTTGGTGTTGTGTGAGACATTTGAGGCATCACACTTGAGGTGCTAGGCTCACAAGGTTTTCAAGGAATCCTAACTACTACAAGGTATGTATTTCCTACTAACTTTTATGATGAAAAGTTCCCCATGTATGCTAGATAGGTTATGAACCTTGGAAAAAACAATTTTGCATGTATCATAGATAAAACATAGATCCAAGGTTTATAGGGTTGCATGTACACCATAGGAGTGTTAGAATGCTCAAAACCCTTCAGTGGTATCAGAGCCTAGGCTTGTTTGTTTGATACTTGATGCAAAATTGTGAAAAAACTCAGTTTTTCTGCACTCTGAAGCATGAACTCGCCGAGTCCATGGGGGGACTCGACGAGTCCATGACCAAATTCATCCTACTCGACGAATAGGCTCTTGCACTCGACGAGTAGGAGCCCCTGAATGCAGATTTTCGAGTTTTGTTGCTGGAAATGGACTAGAAACATTACCCTAAACTGTTTTGGTGTTATAAAACTTGTTTTAGATGGTGTAATGGTTGTTATAATCCATTTACAATGGCTAATATCAAAATTTCATGTTTATATGTGTTCATATGTTCTTGAAATTTTGATAGGAATATTCATGTTCTTATGAGTTCTTGATAGATCATAGGAATTACTTGTTTAATGTTTAATTCATGATCTTTATGTGTTTTAATGGAATCCATAACTTGTCCTCAAGTTATCGATTACCAAAAGTCATTCTTTTAAAGTCCATTATTAAACACATAGATTACATAAAATAAAAAGTCACTCATTTTATTACATCATTAACTCATAAGTTATGAAAGATGAAAAGTTTTTGAAAGTTACAAAACTTGCCCTCAAGTTTTGGAACATGTAAAGTCACTTTAAATACTTTAGTTCCAACCCCTAGAATTTTAAAAGTTAAAATTCAACCCTTATACTTTATAATATTATAAGTTTAATAATAATTATATATGTATAAGAAAAAGTCGTTTTACCGTTAGTAGGCCTCATTCACGAAACAGGTGTATAAAGGGGGTATAAGGTTGTTGCCTATAAAATGACAGCTTAATGGGTCTCCACTCTCACCCACCGCTTCCTTGACTGGTGGAGGGTCGTTAGCCGAACGGGTAGGACAAGGACTTATAAATCTTCATTAAAAGTATGATGAAAAATAAAGTAACTAAATGTTTATAAATTCCCAATCTTAGTTACTTTAGGAAAATGTGAATAAGGTGCTAACCCATGAAATTACACTTTGCACTTTGATTAAGTCGTTAGTGGAGCGTGTGTGGTTAACCGGCACACTAACCTGGACTTAACAAGGTAGGCAAATGGTAACCTAATATTTATCATAGTATCGATGGAGCGCGTGTGGTTAACCGACACATCGATTGAGGGGTAAATATTAAGGGTACCAAGTAATTTGCATGGTTACTTCACACCTTGTTTTGTGATCCTCGGCATCCCAGTCACAAAACCTGAAGGGCACACTCGAGATTGAAACATGCCATTGAAAAGTTCAATGAATCTCAAAGAATCTAGGAGTTTCAAAAACCAATTAAAACCTAATAATTTATTTCGTTT